TGATGGAGTAAATCCAGTCTTTCCTTATAGTCTGTGCCTATTTTAGTTCCATTCTCTGTTCTTCCAGTATAAGTGGAACTTGCCCCAGACAACTGTTGACATCACAGTGAGGAAAATACAGCTAGTTTTTTCTGCCTCTCAAGGGAGAAAAGAAAATTGGTTGGTTTGTCCCTTTAGCATAATGTATCTAAAGCACTTTAAAATACTTATTAAGCTAGTTGCACAGTCTTTAGCAGACTAATCTTGTCTCTATTCCTAATGCTGTTTATCTGTTCTCACTTTTAGTGTTTTGACTTACTTCTCATTTTTTCTCTGGCTTTCTCATTTATTTTTCATATCCATAGCTTTTGGTATTTTGCCTTGCTGTCTTTGTAACTGGCAGAATCTTAAGCATGCAGGGCTAGTTTCTTGACCACCCATAGGACTTCTTTCAACTGGAGTTTTTGTCATTTGATTCTCTTTCATTTGACACTTTTTTAATAAATTTGGTGTACCGCTCCATAATTGTTTCTTGTGGATAAGTCTCTACTCCCTGGTGTGATTTTAATTAGTAGTCCTGGAGGGCAGGGATTAACGTATCCTTTGTAAGGATCCCTCCAAGAAGAAATCCCCCCCAAAATACACAGAATGTCTTAGTGTGTGTGCAGTTATTCAGTTTTTCAGTCAATATTTATTTGAATGATTACTGTTTGCCGTCCACTCTGCTAGGCATGCACAGTCAAGTGATGGATTCACTGGGCTTATGTGCTAGCAGTTGGTTCAGACAAGTTAACCAGGTAATACAAGACAGTGTAATGTGGGACTTGAGAACATAAGGATGAGTTGGCTCTCTCTCTCTCTCTCTCTCTCTCTCTCTCTATCTATATATATATACACACACACACACACACACACACCACTATATGTGTGTGTGTGTGTGTGTGTGTATATATATATATATAGTATATGTACATCAAGGAGGCGCCTCATCTACTTTGAGGTTTCTGAGAATGTGGCCTTTGAGAT